GCTTGAGCCCAGGAGTTGGAGGTTGCTGTGAGCAGTGAAGCCATGGCACTCTACCCAGGGGGACAGCTTGAGGCTCTGTCTCAAAAAAAAAATAAAAAACCTCAAGAGAGGCTGGGTACTCTTGGGAAGCCATGACAGTTGGGGGATCACTTGAGCTCAGGAGTTTGAGACCAGCCTGAGCAGAGCAAGACTCCACCTCTACCAAAAATAGGAAAAATTAGCCAGATGTAGTGGAGCACACCTATAGTCCCAGTTACTTGGGAAACTGAGGCAGGAGGATCATCAGAGCCCAGGAGTTTGAGGTTGCAGTAAATTAGGAAAATGCCACTGTATTCTACATGGGAGACAAAGTGAGACTCTGTTTTTTAAAAAACAACCCCCCCAAAAAAAAAAAACCTCACGAGAGACAAATGAGAGATATTTATATTCTGTTCCAGCCCCTCTGGCTTAGACTTTCTACAGTTTGAAAGTTAGAATAGGGAGTGATATTTCTCCATCCTAATCAAGACTGGAGGGACTGAAGGGGGGAGGGGTTTTCTTCTCTTCCACAACCCCCTACTAAGCAAGACAAAAACACCAGGTGCTTTCCTGACCCACACAGGAGGCCTCTCTCGGAATCAACCCTATCCCTCAAGCTTTTTATTGCTGTTCATAGGGAAAGAACAGAGACAGAGCTGAGATTTTAGGGAACTCAAGGAAACAAGAGCTGACATATCCCAGTGTCCCCCTACCCTGAGTCACTAGTCCTAATGGAAAGAAACTTCCACTTCTTGAGTGTGCCCCAGCCATTCCTCACTCCCCCACCATCCTTCTGAAATTCCTAGCAGGTACGATCTAAGGCACAGATAGGAAAGTCCAAGCCTTCCTGGGGAAAAGCAGGGTGGGCGAAGGCAGCTACTCACAGTGGGGACAAAGTTTTGCCAGCCCATGGATTATTTTTATCCTCAGCAGCCATTTAAGACCCCAAGCCCAGAGAAGCAGGAGCACACAGAGCTACTATTTCTATGGCAACAACTAGGTAAGAGATTGGTGGTGGTGGTGGGGTGTCTGTTTCCCCAAAGCTCACAGGGGAAGGAGGGCAACAGAAAAGTGAGTGCTCCCAGTGATATAGGAAACAAAGGGCCACAGAAACACAAGGGACTTGTGAAGATATCAAGCACTGGAGATGTGTCTGGAGATGAAGAAGCAACAGGCTGTGTGTTCCAGGGGGGCCTTTAGCTCGGAGGCAGCACCCACCTTGAACATCCCCACTCCTTGCTGCAGCCATATCCCCGCATCCAAGTGTGAGCGGTGGTCAGGCCAAATGAGAGGGCTGGGCTGGCCAGGCTAAAAGTTACAATCAGTGGCCGAGAAAATGTCACTTTCAGCTTCAAAAGCAGAAAGCCTGAGCTCTGGCTCCAGTCTGCTGCAGGCCAGTTGCAAGAGCTCAAGAAAGCCACTCCCCTCTGCAGAAGATCCTACCACCTCTAAGTCCTGGGTATCTCTGTGGTCTTGGAAGAAGTCCACCTCATACCTTCTGCTTTAGCTCTGCACTGAATTCCCAGGTTGAATTCTGACACACAAGTTCCCATACCTTTTCCACTGCTCTCCAGGCTGCACTCATGCTTCCCTGTCCCACACCCTGCCCAGCTACACACCTGCTTCTACCATGCCCAGGACTAGGTCCACACTCAGAGGCAGAGGCCAGTACAAATGCTTCCCTTCTGGCCATTCTTTCCTTTCCCACCTCGCTCCCAGTTCCTCTCCTCCCTTTCCCAGGGCCCCAGCCTTAGTGGTCCCCCATAACCCTGCTGAGACCTCCAGACTGGGAACCCACTTCTTCCACGCCTCTCAAAAGAGCCCATGGATGTGAAAGTCATGCTTCTGCACCATCTGAGTCTCACCTTGTACACCTGCCCATAGGTTCCATTGCCGACCACTTCCACCAGCTCAAAGATTCCAGCAGGGTCCTGGGGGCAAGAGGGTAGGAGGGAGAAAAGAAAGAATACGGCATCAGGATTTCAGAAAAGGATTATGAAGCTAGAGGGGAGGAGAGGGATGCTCAGTCAGGATATGAGAGTGAACACTAGTATATTACGTATTAGGAGGGGGCTTGCAGAAGGAACCCTGGTGGCCAGCTGCCCTTTCCCTATATTGGTTCAGAGATAACGTTTTATGGGAAAAGGTAGATGTGAGAACACTGAAGTCAGAGTCCAGGCCAGGCCAATGGCTCAAGCCTGTAATCCTAGCATCCTGGGAGGCTGAGGACTGCTCGAGCTTAACAGTTTGAGACCAGCCTAAGTAAGAGTAAGACCTGGCTTTACTTAAAATACAAAAATTAGCTGGGTGTTGTGGCTAGCACCTGTAATCCCAGCTACTTGGGAAGCTGAAGCAGGAGGACAGCTTGAGCTCAGGAGTTTGATGTTGCTATGAACTAGGCTAAGGCCATGACACTCTAGCCCAGGCAACAGAGAAAGACTCTATTGCAAAAAAGAAAAAAAGAATAAATGCAGAGATAAGGAAAGTTAGCGAGGAACAGGAATAGAACAGCCACCATCCTTTGTCCTCCTGCACCCTTCCCAGTCCTTCTGAGATTGAGGACTTTCAGGCCAGGGTTTGGAGGCAGAATGGACCTCCAAGGAGAGAGAAAACAGGTGATGGTGAGAGAGGGCCTCTGGGAGGGCAGAGGAGAAGGAAGAACTTTCTGTTCCTACATTTCTGAGCCAAGCAGTGCTAGGAGGAGAGGACCCTAAGGGCTCGAACAAAGCCTCTAAAGAGGCTCATTCTCCCCCTGGGCCATGAACAGGCAGGCCTGGCCACAGTAACATACCTACTGTGCAAGGCTATCCACACCCTCTTGGTGGAACTGTTTTGTTTTTGTTTGTTTTTTTTTTTTTGAGAGAAAGAGGAGTTGGGAGGTGGAGCTACAAGCTGGAGAGAGGTATTAATCCAGCACTGTCTGTGCTCCTGACTGACGGCACCTCCTGTGGAATGACAATTCTGGCATTTCATAGGGCAGGCCCCCTCCCCACTGACTGCTGGGACCAAGAACAGAGGTAGAACATGAAGATGGCACTTAGGAATAAACTCTCCAAGCAACACATGGGCCTCTGTGCTGATAATCTTAAAAGTACATAATCTGAAATTCCTTTCTCCCTGATTCTGAAAACCAATATAGAATTTCTGGAGGGTGGAGAACCCACAACCAAAAAACCCAAAAAAACAAGCCAATACAACTCCTTCATTCACTGACGTGATTGGCACATAGAAGATGACTTGGGCATGTGCGCAACCATGGAGACAATAGCCCGAGACTTTTTAAGAACATCTTCACTGAGCACTGTCTGCCTGTTTACTTAGAAAGGAACTGGAGGACAGGAAATGTGCCCCTGGCTTCCTGTGCATGCCCTATCATAGCATGTATCACAGTGCACTGTGCCTGTACACTGATTTGCCTTAAATGCCCTAGAGGCAGGGACTGACCCTCTTTGTTCACCAAATACTTCCAGCACCTTACTGAACATCCCAACCTGCTCAGAAGGCAGACTTAACAGGGGTTGAAAAAGGGTTCCCTCTGCGTGCCCTGAAGGGGCCTGGGTGGACCAAACCAAGAACTTCCTGGGTCTGTGTTTAACTCTTTTTTTTTTAATTTTTTTTTCTGTGTTTAACTCTTTATCTCCAGCTGAGGTTATTGAAAAAAATCTTTAATAGGTCTAATAACAACAACAACAACAAAAAGTAGGACCCACAGGAAAAGGAGGCCTTGCCACTGCAGGTAGGACTAGTAATTTTTTTTTGTGTGTGTGATTTTTGGCTGGGGCTAGGTTTGAACTTGCCACCTCTGGCATATGGGGCCAGCACCTTACTCCTTTGAGCCATAGGCACTGCGTAGGACTAGTAATGTTTGAACTTGAGAGCTGCAAGGAACCTGGAAGAAATCATTTATCTGCAATTTTAGACTTAGAGGTTAAAGATCTCCTAAAGATCTCCCCAAGGGAAGAGCTCATTCATTCTGGGGACTCTTTTAACTCTGATTGTTAAAAAGTACTTTTTTGGATTTAACTTAATTCTTTGTGAGATGGAAAGGAGACAGAAAAAGGACTTAAGTTCATGGTTTTGGTCCATCTTCTGGAGGTTTCCTCAGGTAGGAGTGAAAACATGATGGGCTGGTCATAAATATCTGCCACCATTAACTCAAATCACTACAAATACATTTTCATTCTGTAACCTTAACTCCTAATCTGTCTCCTTCCTATATGCTTGGGAGGCACCTAAGGATGAAGGCAAGATCTTTGAGGTGAGACACACTGGGTTAGATAATAACTTCTCATGAGTTTCAAGCCTGCTTCCTGACCACACCTACTTGAAAGGGCAATTTGGGGAATCACGCTGCGTGGTACCTCACACCCTCTGCAGAAGACGCCACATTTTGGCCCCACCCTGCTGTGCTTTTCAGCAGCATCTTTCTCCCACTGAAATCCTACCTCTCATCCCTGCTCCTCCTCCTTACTTCTCCCATCACAGCCACCCCATTCCTTAGTACTGGAAGCTGCTAGCTTGTGCCAATCCCTCTGTCTCCTTCCTGGAGCTCTCCCCTCACCATGTCTTCCTTCTGCTGCCACTGCTCAATTGGACCCTCCTAAGACATGCTTTTTTCTGCCCTAGAACCCATATGGCTCTAGATGCTTAGAGAGTCCAAACTCCTCAGCCTGATATTTAAACTTACCCCATCATTAACCAACCAATAAATACATTCTAAGTGTGTGCCTCCATTTGCCCTGCAATGGGCTTGGTCCTAATGAGAGAAAATCTGTCAGGCAACCTTACTGTATTTCATCCATCCCTGAAATATCTATTCAGCACTAATTATGTGACAACTCCTGAACTAAGTACAGCGGGAACTCAATGGTGAATGGGAAACAGATAGCCATATCATTTTTATAAATAGGCCGAGTACCCGAATATGAATATGTAGCAATATATGATAATACATCATAAGAATAATTGAAAGCACTAAAGCCATTAAGAAACTGTTTGGTATGGTAAAAAGTGCACTGGAGAGTGGCTTTCTAGTGAGAACTTTGGCACTAGTTGTGTGTTCCTGTGCAAATATTTACCTGTTTGGGGCTTCGTTTTCCTCCCACAAGCTGAAAGGATGTTGAATTGGGTGAAATGTCTTGTTTTATGATTTCAGGGGCCAGAATTACTTCTGGCTGGGGATCTCAGGCAGGCTCCCTGGAGGAGATGGTGTTTGAATTGGGCTTTAGAGGTTGGGTAACTTTCTACCTGGTGATAGGAATTTAAGAGTGGAGAATGCTAGCTCACGCCTATAATCTTAGCACTCTGGGAGGCCAAGGCAGGTGGATTGCATGAGTTCAGGAGTTCAACACTAGCCTGAGCAAGACAGAGACCCTATCTCTAAAACTAGCCAGTTATTCTGGTGTGTAATCTCAACTACTCAGGAGGCTAAGGGAAGAGAATAACTTTAGCCCAAGAATTCGAGGTTGCTGTGAGTTATGATCCCATAGCAGTCTACGGAAGATGACAAAATGAGACTCTGCCTCAGGACAAAAAAAGAGTAGAGAATGTCATACCCTACTGAGGGACAGCCATTTTGGTTTTGGATGCTGACTCTGAGATGTTTGGGTATGTAGAGGAATATGTGTCTATCTGATAGTTACAAACAAGGATCTGGAGATCAAATTTAGAGGCATTCACGAATGTGAGGGGTGGAGTCACAGAAAAGATATCCAAGGAGAGTACACAGGGAAAGCAGAAAAAAAGAGCCAAGATTAGCCTCTGAGGAGTGATCACATGCCACATGTTAGAAAGCAGGAGAACAGACACCAGAGGAAGAGATGGTCACAGAGGCCACCCCGCAGGAAGGACAAGGTGATGATGGCCTCAAATGCTACAGAGTGGTCAGAGGGCAGTGCAACCAAATACCACTGGCCTTAGTACCTAGATTCCCAGTAGGAACCTTTGTAAGAAATGTACTTCTGAGAGCAGAAGGCAGAGAGTCGGGGCTGGGGGAGACAGGGGTGTAATGAGGAAGTGAAGGCTTTGGGGAAAGCACCCTTTCTGGAGAAGTCTAACCTTGACAGGGTGGGGTAAATCAGATGACAGCTGGAGGCAGCAGCAGGGTCAGACAAGAGAGGTTCAAAATAGGGAAAATCTCTTACACCTACAAAGGGGAAGAAGCCAAAAAAGGAGGATGTCTGAGGAACTGATTTCTTTTTCTTACTTATTTTTTTAAAGGGGAAAGCATGAATGCAGTCCCCCACTACCATAAATTATGCAGTCGAGTTTCCCACATTTGTGCAGGGGTCAGCACATCTGGAGTGCAATGGATAAGCCTCACCCTGGGAAAACCACCTTCATGATCATGGTATCTCTCCTGCCAGGTAAGTATGAGGAACTGATTTTTTTTTTTCTGATTTTTTAATAATATGTGTGTATAGATACATAAGTTTTCATTTCACAGAATATAAACTAAGTCTTCTGCTGCTTTACAATAGTGATAAAATACAATAGGGCACATTTCTCTATAACACACATATCCAAGAATTCAGAATGCCCAGAGATACATAACACATGCAGTTCCAGTGTGATTTGTGCATTGATTTGCCTACAAAGGTGGGCCCTTCAAATACTGCATCTTCGTTCTTCATCACCCTTAAAGAGGAGCCTCTGGAGGGAGGTACTCTGCTCCTAGGTAGCCGTGGGCAGCCCTGGTACAGCTTTGTAGCATACAGTTGTACACCTTCTCTAGCTCTTCCTCAGCAATCTGGTTCTTACCCAGTCAACTGCTGGAAGATGGAAAGAGATGAGAACAAGTACATGGGTAAATAAAGAGAGGAGGGAGAGAGGAGGACAGGAAAGACATGTAGACTGCGGTCTGTTGAGGTAAAGAGGAAAGAAGATAAGGAGGTTGGGTGTGGTGGCTCACGCCTGTAATCCTAGCACTCTGGGAGGCCAAGGCGGGTGGATTGCTTGAGCTCACAGGTTTGAGACCAGCCTGAACAAGAGCAAGGCTCTATTTCTTAAAAAAAAAATAGCTGGGCATTGTGACGGGTGCCTGTAGTTCCAGATACTAAGGAGGCTGAGGCAAGAGAATTATTTGAGCCCAAGAGTTTGAGGTTGCTGTGAGCTATGACACCATGGCACTCTACCGAGGGTGACAATGTAAGACTCTGTCTCAAAAAAAAAAAAAAAGATAAGAGAATGCAATAAATACTCAATGACCATGACTTTAATGATTAAGTCAGAGAGAAGCTCATCTTCTAAGTAAGAATGGGGTTTGAATGAAGTGGCAAAGCTTGGGATTAGATGCTATCTGGCATGCTTTATGGTAGTGTCCCTCAAACTACAGGATACATAAAAATCACATGGGAAGCAGGCTCAGTACCCATAGCTCAGTGGTTAGGGCATCAGCCACGTACAGGAGGACTGGCGGGTTCGAACCTGACCTGGGCCTGCTGAACAACAATGACAACTACAACTACAACAAAAAAACAGCCAGGCGTTATAGCAGGTGCTTATAGTCCTAGCTACTTGGGAGGCTGAGGCAAGAGAATTGGTTAAGTCCAAGAGTTGGAGGTTGCTGTGAGCTGTGATGCCACAGCACTCTACTGAGGGTGACATAATGAGATTCTGTCTAAAAAAAAAAAAAAATCACATGGGAAGCAGACTCCTAGGATTTGCTTCTAGACATTCTGATTTTGCACCAGAGGTCTGTAGTGAGGAGCAGGAATCTGTTTATTTACCAGATATCCTGGGTAATTATAATGCAGAGAGTGTCACTGCTCTAGAGAGTTCCTAGGCAGGTATAGGATATCCTGGAGCAATGGGAATAGGCAGTGGTAGGCTGACTGTAGCACTATGTGATTAACTACGATTCCCTCCTCTAAGACAGATCTACAGCACCTCTGTGATCACTGACATTTCCCAGGGACACAATGTCCATTTTTTTCTACATTCATGTGGCCAACCCTACTTAAAAATGAACTTTCTCCTGTCAGCCGAGCCAAAGATCAACTGTTTTCCGGGAAGTTTCTCCTAGCTACTCTAGTTCACAAGCTATCTCATCCATAAATTTCCACCTCAATTTTACATTTTAATCTCATCCCCACCTTGAGTAGGTCCTACTTAGAACCAAGTATGTATGTATGTATGTATGTGTGTGTGTGTGTATTAATCTAATAATCTAAGGATGTCTACTCTTGCTACGGCTACTTCTACTCAACATTGTATTGGAGGTTCCAGCCAGAGTAGTTAGGAAAGAAAAAGAAATAAAAGACAACTTAGATTAGAGAGGAAGAATATCTCTGTATGTAGATAACATGATCTTAAATGTAGAAAATCCTAAGAAATCCACTAAAAAATATATTAGAATGAGTTCAACAAGGTTGCAGGGCACACAATCAATATATAAAAATTGATTATATTTCTATACACTCCAATGAATAACCCAAAAATGAAATTAAGAGAACAATTCTAATTGCAATAGCATCTAAAAGAGTAAGTTCAATCAAGGAAGTGTTAGATTTGTACAGTGATAACCACAAAACAATGTTGAAAGAAATTAAAGACCTAAGTAAATGGAAGGATATCCCATGTTCATGGATCACAGGCTTAATATTGTTAAGATCTAGAGAGTCAATGCACTTCTATCAAAATTTCAGCTAACATTTTTGCAGAAATAGACAATATCCAAAAAATCATATGGAAATACAAGGGATCCAGAAGAGACAGACAATACAGAAAAGAAGAACAAGGTTGGAAGACTCCTATTTCCCAATTTCAAAACTCCCTACAAAGCTACAGTAATCCAGACAGTGTGACAATGGCATAATAATAGACATATAGATCAAAGGGATAAAATTGAGAATCCAAAAATAAACTCTTACATTTATAGTCAATTGATTTTCAGTAAGAGTATAAAGACTATTCAATAGTCTTTTCAACAAATGGTGCTGGGACAAGTGAAGATCCACAAGCAAAAAAATGAAGTTAGATTTCAACCACATACCATATACAAAAACTAACTCAAAATGAATCATAGATGTAAAACTGTTAAGAGCCAAAACCATAAAAATCTCAAAACAGCAGTAAACTTTCATGACCTTGGATTAGGTCATGTTACACATGACATAAAAAGTATAAGCAACAAAAGCAAAAAAAAAGATAAATTAGACCTCATCAAGATTTAATACTTTTGTGCCTCATAATATGCCATCAAGAAGGTCAAAAGATAGGGCCAGGTGCAGTGGCTCACGCCTGTAATCCTAGCACTCTGGGAGGCCGAGGCAGGTGGATTACCTGAGCTTAGGAGTTTAAGACCAGCCTGAGCAAGAGTGAGACCTTGTCTCTTAATATAGCCAGGCATTGTGGAGGGTGCCTATAGTTACAGCTACTTGAGGCTGAGGCAAGAGGATCACTTGAGTCCAATAGTTTGACGTTGTTGTGATCTATGACTCCACAGTACTCTACTGGGGGTAAGAAAGTGAGACTCTATCTTAAAAAAAAAAAAAAGAAAGTGAAAAAACAGCCCACAGAATGGGAGAGAACATCTGAAAATTATTTATCTGATAAGGAACTTATATCTGGAATATAAAAAGGATTCCTACAACTTAACAATACAATAATCCAATTAAAAATGGGCAAAGAGTCTGAATAGATATTTCTTCAAAGAAGATATACATATAGTAGCCAGCCAGGCATGGTGGCTCATGCCTGTAATCCTACTACTTTGGGGGGGCGAAGGTGGGAAAACTGTTTGAGGCCAGGAGTTGGAGGCTGCAGTGAGCTATGATGACCCCACTACAGTCCAGTCTTTGTGAAAGAGTGAGATTCTATCTCTAAAAAAGTTTTTACAAAGGCCCCTCACGCCTGTAATCTCAGCACTCTGGGAGGTCGAGGCAGGTAGATTGTTTGAGCTCATGAGTTCAAGACTAGCCTGAGCAAGAGAGAGACCCTATCTCTAAAAAAGTTTTTTAAAAGGCCAGGTAGGGTGGCTCACACCTGTAATCCAAGCACTCTGGGAGGCCAAGGCGGGTGGACTGCTTAAGCCCATGAGTTTGAGACCAGCCTGAGCAAGACAGAGACCCAGACCCTAAAAACAAATAGCTGGTAGGCATTTATTAGTAGCAGCTAGTCAAAAGGCTGAGGCAAGGGGATGGCTTGAGCCCAATAGTTTGAGGTTGCTGTGAGCTATGCCACAGCACTCTATCCAGGATGACAAAGTGAGACTCTGTCTCAAGAAAAAAAAAAAAAGTAAAATAAAATAAAATAGATATATATACTGGCCAACAGCCCCATGAGAAGGTGTTCAACATTATTACTCATTAGGGAAATGCAAATCAAAACCACGATGAGATACCACTTCACTCCCACTAGGGTAGCTAGAATCAAAATATGGGACACTAACAAAGTTTGACAAGACTGCGGAGAAATTGGAACCTTATACCCTGCTGACAGGAAAGTAATATGGTGCAGCAACTTTGGAAAACAGGTTATTTCTTCAAATGTTAAACAAAGTTATTGTATGGCCCAGCAATTCTACTCCTAGACACTCAAGAGAATTAAAAACTTATGTCCACACACACAAAAAAAATCTGTTTGTGAATGTTCACAGCAAGAAGATTTATAATAGCCAAAGAGTAGGAACAATCCAAGTACCCAACTAATAAATAGATAAATGTGGTATATCCATACAATGGACTATTATTGGCAATGAAAAGGAATGAGGTACTGGTAGAAACTGTAACATGACAGAAGCAAGTCAGAAAAGGCTACATGTTACATGGCTCTATTACGTGTCATGTTCAGAATACACAGTGGTGATGGTTGCCCAAGCCTGTGAGTTTACTAAAAACCACTTAAAAATACTTCAAAGAGTTAAATTTTATGGTATGTGAATTATGCCTCAATAAAGATGCTATTAAAAATAATAATCCTTCAACATCACTAATCATCAGGGAAATGCAAATCAAAACTACAATGAGCTATTATCTCACCACATTTAAATGGCTATTAGCAAAAAGACAAAAAATAACATGCTGACAAGGCTTCAGAGAAAGGAGAATTCTTATATACTGCTGGTGGGAATGTAAATTAGTATAGCCATTATGGAACAGTATAAAAGTTCTTTGAAAGACTGAAAATAGTTTAGCTGGGCATGGTGGTTCAACACATGGAGTTCCAGCTACTTGGGAGGCTGAGGCAGGAGTATTGTTGGCAGCCCAGGAGCTGGACGTTGCAGTGAGCTATGATGACACCACTGCACTCTAGCTGGCGTGACAGCAATACCCTGTCTCAGAAAAAAAAAAAAAAAAAAAAAGAACCTGAAAATGGAACTGCCAAATGATCAAGGAATTGCACTGCTGGGTATATATGCTCCAAATAAAGGAA